GTTATCTGCTCGTTTATGTACATTCGCTGCGATCGACGAAATTTTCTCCTCGAATGATAGAATTTTACGTGAAACGTGACTCGGCAGCTTCATCGTCGATACGTACATATCGGTAAAAGGTTAATGCGTCGAGTCGACCGTAAAACTCATAACAACGAAAGAAACAGCGGTTTCCGGCTCGGTTCAAGGAAATCATACAAAGTATTTTCGAATTTTCAGAACGAGCGAGCAGCGATAACGACATATCGATATGGGGACAGGCGAACAGTTTAATCGCAATCGTTACCACGCTAGAAACGAGTCAACGTTGTTGCCTTACACTCGACACTTTTTCCTCTGTTATAGAAAACTTAGTAGATCATTTTCGTATCCTTTCAGCGATTTTCTTTCCCTCCGTTCTACGTTACACACCGAAACGCTTACGCATGTGGAATTAAAGCGTTTAAGCGTCGAAACGGTAGGCGGCATCGCTACGGATACGTGTATCGTCGATAGTAGGCAAATGATAATGTCGTAAAACAGATGAAAAAAGAGGTTGCATATGCACACCTAATAAGCGTTAGGGAACGCGAACCGTCCAACGCAACGTAACGTAACGCAACCGAGGAAAAAAATGCTCAAGCTCCAAGTCTGATAACTCGTCAGTTGTCATTCACCTTGGAAGCGAATCGGGGCACGTGTTTGTAGGCCGGCTAGCCAGCCAGAGCAAATCAATCGAAGACGCGAGCACCGATTACGCGTCTCTCTCTCTCTCTCTCTCTCTCGTTCAACGCGTGCGCTCGTTTACGCATCCCCCTAATTCCAGCTCTTTTCTCCAAACGGGCAACGTTGCGCGATCGTTGAAAGAGAGATTTTTATTGGCGTCGGTGCGTTTCCTTACGAAACGCGTATATACGGGTATATACGAGAGATACGACGAATGTATACGCGCGTATTAAAATGTAGGCGGAGGCAAGTGGCATCTGGTATTCGAAACGGAGAAATCGATCATCGATAAAAGTCGATTAATTCGGTTAATCTGTGGATTGGGAGCAAGCTGGGTGGAAAGAGAGTAAGCTTTCGAAATAGAGTACCGACGGGGAATCGTCCGGTTCGATTCGACGACTGCGCTGCGCTGGCTAGAAGCGGTAATTGCGCGTCGCACGGTCTAACTGTTCGGCGTAAATTCGTCCTTGAAGCAAGCACTAAATGAGGAGCACGATGTTGGCACGAAGGGGGATGGGCCGGGTTGTGCGCGAGCCAAGATGCAACGGGAAACGAAACTTTTTTGACTAATTCCAATGAGGGAACGCGCGGACGTTAACCCAATTTAAGGTCCCTCTTGTTTGAATTCGGGACTGCGCCGGTGCAGAATGACCCGTCTCAGCCCGCCCCGGCTGCGGCGCGGCAGTACCCGAGGTTTATAGGTCAGTCCGGTTTCGCGCGATATAGATTTTTCGCTCGACGATGTCGTCCCGCCCGTTGCACGCCTCGGCCGACCTCCTCCGAATCCACCGGGCTGCGCATGCATCCCTGTCTTCGCTCTCTAGATCGGAATCAATCACGAAATCGGCCCACTTTCGAGCCTTGAGCAAACGCTCTCACGCGTTAATGGTGCAGCAGCAGCAACAGCCTAATATCTGATCCGATTTTCTCCGTATTTCTCGTTACATGGAAAGTTAATAGAAAGCTATTAAGCCGGTATCGATTGGTTGCGACGCAGAGGCAAACGAAACTTATGTAATAGAGTAGACGGATGAAAAAGTGCAACGCGCGGCGACCCTGTAGCAAGGCTGTCACCCGACCGCGACGGGGGTATGCGCGCGTCCACCCACTACTATCGAACGGCTGACGCTGCGGTGTTAGCGTGGTTCTAACAAGCACAGTGTTATTTTTCGTACGAAAAACGGTGTATCGTGCAGTCTATATAACCTTTACCCGGTGTAGATAGCAACCTACACGTAGCGCGTGGAAACGGATAGGTTGCTGGGTGCGAGTAAGGAACGGAGAATAGCGATGCCAGCGCTCCGTGTTCTCCGCCCTTCCGTCGTGATCCACTCGCCTGGCACCCTCTGCGCTCCCCTCCATCACCCCTGCGCTTCCACCACCCATTTACCCACCCCCTCGGTGCACCCTCTCACCCTTCTCCATTCGCTGCCATGTCATGCCGCACCTCGCCACGTCTTTTCTCCTCCCGTCTCGTTTCCACCAACCTAGCTGACCTAGTTTGCGTTAGCCTGCTGGGATCGTTTCTTCCGTAGTACACGCCTCGGGATCCAGGTTACGCCGAAAGCCGGTCTGTTATACCTACACCCGGTTTCCACACCCTCGGCCATCCAGCCATGACGTTTCACCTCACGGCATCGGTGTTATCTTTTGATCTAGTCGATCTAGTCGATCTAGTTAATCGAGCGAGTATCTTGGCGTCGTTCACACGGCGTCGAAGATATACCAAACCCGTTGCGTGTCGTTTAGGAAGAAGAGAGACCCGTTTCAAAGGTGAGGAGGCGTCAGAGCGCGGCGAATTGTACGAGTCTGGTTTGTCGTACGGAAGAAAAAAAACTGATGGAGGAGGAGGAGCAGGAACACGCGCGTAGAACAACGGCTGGTAGAGCGAGAACGGTCGCGTCTAGACCGGCGGAATGCGCGGACATGGAGGAGCTGAAGATGGATACGCGTTTGAATGCGTGTACGGGCGTATACATTCGCTAACAATCCCTTTTACGCGACTCTCCTTTTGTGCGCTTCCTCTTTCCAGCGTGCTCCTTTTTCTATCGAACGTTTCGAAATTTGTCACCTCGCTCCCAGCTTTGCCGTCTTGAGGGGACGAGACTATTTTTTACGAGCTACAAACTTTCGAACTGGGCCAGTATTTGGAAGCGGGGCCACGCGCTTTCGCGATCGTATAGCGCAGAATCCTTTGGCCCGAGGATCGGGAAGATGATTTGTCAGCATCGCGAATGTAGGACGCCACCTCGTAACAGTATTCGAGAAATAGCCCAAGCCCCCCCTCCTCGCATCGCATCGCGTCGCATTGAATAGAATTAGGGGTTCTTTCCTCCTTTTTTCCGCATTGCTCGACTTTCTGCTACCTATGTTGCTTCCACGTTCGATTGAAATTTAAGTGACAATATCCGGAAACGGGCGAGAGCGAATGGCATCCGTTGGGAAAAAAGATGGGAAAGGATGGGAAAAGGATAAAAGAGAAGTTTTGCGTGAAGAGTAAGGGGAAAGAAATGACGACAAAATAACTGGAGGATTGGATAAATGCATAAACGAAGGCGGATAGATGGCCTACAGAAGGAGAGGGGTTGTAGGGGTGATACAGTGGTGGAGTCTGCACAGAGGTTGCTGTCGACGCCCTGCTGCCGCCGCTTCCTGGTTTCCCTATATTGATTTTCTAGCGTGCCTCCAGCTAGACAGAAACGGAACGACGCAGCGCGAGGGAGAGAAACGGCGTTGGTCCGCCGCGCTTCTGCTCCAAAGCTAGCACACGGTGAGGCGCGCGGCGTGTGCACGGAAATCGGCTAACGGAGTGCTCGTTCGGCCGCCGCACCGCCATTCCGCCGCGAGTCACGTTTGCGCGAATGTGTGCGCCCTGTAGAACCATCGGTGGAGGGGTTGCATGCCTCAGGGTTGCAGCCAGGTAGCATGGAGAAGACGCGAACGCGAAGAAGATGCGGCCACTACTACCTTTTCCACCTCCGCCCGTGCCGTTCGAAAACCTGTCCGGCTGAGCGGGGACTGTTCCCTTCTCGCCTCCACGGCCGCGTTCGATAAACAAGCTTCATTTCCAACCACCAAATGGCTTCATATTTCTTTATAACGTTCGAAAATATACCGAATTTAGACATCGCCGATGCGAGTTTGCGATTAGTAATCGAGCGGAGAATCAGAGCGTTCTCCTTGTGTGGAGAACGCACCAAGTAGTAGAGGACAACGCGTGATCAGACGATCGATCCTTATTGTTAGTTTCTCCCTGGCTCGTAAGCGTTTTCGCACGAACCTCATCTTTCACTCTGTTAGATCGCTCCTTTCCTCTGTCAAACGGAAATTTCGATCTCCGCTATATTATAGATAGGCTGTTGCTACCGTGGCCGTGACTGATGGCTCTTTTTCGCTGAAGCCGTACAAAATGGCATAGGAAGCCGAGCTATACGAAGCTGACGATGCATTTCCAATGACAAGGGGTAGGTATACTTCTAAAACGAACGAATCTTTCGTTGGAAAATATCGTTTCCCGCACGCTTCTTTTCCGTCTTGTCTCCTCCTCTTTAGAGGATTGTCTGAAATGTCCCGATTTCAGAGTACAGTGAGATGTATACGGGTGATTCGTAAACCTTTTAATAAATCGTTTACGACACGTGTGTGTGTATATGTGTGTTCCCAACAGGGAACAAATTAATCAAAGTATCCTACGATATTTTGTGCAGGATCGTATGACGGCCAATGGAAATTCTCCGTTGGACAATATGAGGACGTTGGAGCACTATTTGAGCGACATCATGCGCGGTGGTACAGCGGACACTCCGGACCACGTGAAAGGTGAGCCAATTTATCGGTTACTTACTACTGTTCAAATAAGTCGCACGCGTCTCTGAGTGAAATGTGCGAAATCGTTATCGCGTAATAAACTCTAACAACTAAGAACGGATAAAGAGAGTAGAATGAAGAGTAGTGAGAATATCGTGATAGTTGCTGCAAGTTAATGGTCCCGTAGAAGTCACTCTGGCTCCAAATAGGATCGGCGACAGATAAGATATGCGAATTGATTAGGCGCGTGGAGTAAGCCACTAAACTATCCGACCAGCCAGACCAACCACACGAACGAGTGTAACGGAGACCAACGAAACAGCCACCCAGCCGACCACTTAACGTACGCCAGCCCTTGTCGGCACCCTCTACTCAACTCGACGCGACACTACACACCCTGCAAATTCGACGTGACTCTATCCACGCGTCCGGCTCGCGCGCGTCTCCAACTCCAACAAACACAAATGACCGAACTGAAAGAAGAAGGAACTCCTTCTCTCTTCTCTCCGCGTCTGCCGCTTTCTTTTCTCCGCGTCTACCCACCCAGCTGTCTGCGAGCTCTGGCAACCCTCAGACAAGCGATCTCGCGCCTGCTTTCAATGGCAAGGGTGGTGCACGTACCGCGCGTGAGACCTCTTCTTCTCTAGTACTCGTCCACACACCGAAACCGTAGCTGTACGACGACCACACATCCAGAAAGATGAAGTGGCCCGCAAGACCGGATGAAGGAGCAGCCGACATCGGTGACGGGGAACGCGGTGTTCGCGAATTTTCTCCGCGTGAATAGCGAAATTTTGATGGGGAACGTGGCCCGTATTGGAACACGAGTGTCTCTCATTTCGTGCGAATCGTTTCGATTCCTCGTACAAATTCGAGTAATGTTTCTTAAGAACGCAAGGAAAGAAAAAATGATGTTTGCGACGATACACACGGTCGCGATTCCTCGTTGAGGAGAATGAGAAGGTGTCGTGGAGGCGAAACGCGACACCTCCGTAGACCGGCGACTTCATTGTATCGCGTAATTATCGTTTCCCTTGGGGACCGAAGACCGTCGGAGAAATCCCGTCCTTTCTTTTTAACCGACCGCGCAGACCTTTATGCCAGCAATTAAAATCTGCTCGCGATCGAAACGCCGCCGCTGCGGGGGGGATGATAACGACCCGTCGCAGACGGAACCAGTCCACCGCAAACAAGAATAGATCAGAACGCGACAACTTCCGATGAAAATTCACGGTTCGACGGTGAGGGATGAAAGAAGGGGAGTGGGGGAGAAGGAGAAACATTGTCCGGTCAAAAAGGAATCTCGGCTGAAAAATGAGTAATAGGGTTGAGGGTGTAAGATAGGATAGGATAGGATCGTTGAGTGCGAACGAGTCTCTTTATTTGAGAACAAAAACCTCTCTCAAGGCATTGTAAGGTTCCGCTGAGTGGGCGTGCTCGCTACGACGCCATCTTTGAAAGTGTCAGCACGACACTTTAAGCTGCACTAATAGTAGGTCAAGTCTCGGATTCAAATCCGAGTGCACCCACAAGAAGTGCGGCGTGGCGCAGCGCGACATCCCTTCGCCTAACCACTTTTGGGCCAAGCGAAAAACTTGCTTGCGCCACCTTCGTTCCTTGTTCTTGCTGGTCGGTTCATCCTCGAGATTCGAAGGCAGAATCGTGGCGTAACGGAGATCGATACGCAGTGAGAAAAGGTTCATGCTATTCTAATCGCACAACGATCGCGTGTCTCCCCCCTAAGGGATAAGATCCTTTTAAAAATAAGCCGAATCGATGTTGCGTTTTGTTATTCCCCGGTGCGTTTCGATCGACTTCGAATTAATAGCGCACGCGTCCAGATATTTCACGGCACGCGGCCAACTAGCGAGCAACTTTCCGTCCTTGAACGACTAGTAGCAAGCTTTACGATTGCATTCTCTGACCTATTATACATATGTATATCGCGGGGGACGCGGCTCGTGTAATTGGTTACTAACGTCAACGGGATTCATAGAGGGTGGTTTTAACGCCGCTCTCCAGCCATCTAGGGTTTCATTGGATCGCGCATTCTCCCCTTCGTTCCCTTTCTGCGCCGCCGTCATCGTCATCGCGCGCACCTACAACCGTGATGCATACAATTGAAAAAGTGAACGGATAAAGCGCAAATACGTCCCAAGTGCGCCGGAGATCAGGTCTCGAAAGGAGAAAAGGACGATTAATTGGAGCCGCACGAGTGCCCCGTTGCTTCCTTCTTTGCGCCTTTCGTCTTTCCAAAGATGCCCTCCTGTGTATGTCGACTGACCGATATTTCGACGCCGCTTTCTCCATGTTTCGCCGTCAACGGGTATTCTCGTATCGATCCCGCTCGAGCAAGCTTCTCTTCTTTCGACCCTCTACCCTCCTAACGAGCCAACCTAATCGAGAGAACCGATCTCTCTCCGGCATGTGAGTTCACCAGAGAAAATCACGGATCGCGAGCGTTACACGTGGTAGTGTATTGGCCGAGATTATGTGACCAACAACTATCGATCACAGTCAGCATGTGAAAAAACTGGCTGCGAGACCACGACGAAAGTGAAACCACCGATACAACCTATTAAACACGGTCGTTCGCTAACTTTCCCTGTGTGCCATCGATTCCGTCTGTGTTTCGAAAAATTTTCGAAAAGCAAACATTCACTGATCCTCCCTCCCCACTATGTTCATCCAAGGCTAAGAATTTCCGAAATAACCGCGCTCTTGTACTTCGTAGTCCGCGATAAAGTAGTCGAGCTTGAATTAGAGATAATAATCCGAAAAATGAAGGTAACGCCCGATAACGAGGTAACGGTGCAAACAATAAGCGTGTAGTGCGATAACGCTTGATTGGGCTAAAAATAAAATTCGAGTCAAGTGGCCGAGAAAACGATTTAACGAATGATTTAACTCTGATGTTCTTTCTTATTATTCATATACATGTATGTACTGAGGTAACTTGAACGCGCGATTGCCTGTTTTCTTTTCCATACCGATGCGCTAGAAACGAAAGAAAAAGCTACGAAGGTTCAAATGCATCTTGCATAGTACATATGTATATGCTTAGTTAGAACTGATCGAGCGAAAAACATATAAAGAGCCGAAATTATTACAGTTGTTGAAATCTACGTACTATTAGATATTTATGAATAAATAATCTTCAGGACATATGTACAGGCGGAAAGTTACGTTAGATCCATGTGAAGGTTAGGTTAAAGAGGTTGTACCGACCGAGAGTTCTTGGAGCGAAGTATGAGCCAGAAAAGACGTACACCGCCATCTCTAGGTGCTTTCCGAAAGGAATCACGATCGCTTGGCATCGCGCAAGCGCCAACACTTTCAAATCCATTCACCAAGGATATAACTCGACGTCCTTAGTTGAATCGAAATAATATCCAGCCGTTTGTTCAATTCAATTCCATTTTACGTGGAACGTTGCTCTGTGGTTGGAACGGGAAACATCAATCGAGCGCAAGTTGACGTAAACGAATGATCGACATTCGATCGTTCGATCGCTACCTACTGCGTATACGCACGCATGCCGAAACAAAAGGGTTCTTTAGAAACGTTATATTCAGAGCTGACCGTGCAAAATGGCACAAGGGCTTATTTAAATTCGATCGGAATTGGCCGCTTGCCTATTGACCAACTGCCACCGTCAGCCGCATTGCAGTGACCTGCAACCACAGACGAGACATAGAGTAGACTACTCATCCAGTATATTTTTTTGTCACACGACCACGGAGTCCTAGAACCCCGTTACCATCATCTTACAGGATCAACTAGAACTGGTATTATATCATTGCGCTATTAGTGGTAGGAATTGAAATCAAGAACACTTCGTACGTGTTCGTATTTTAAATCATGAAGGAGAAAAAATTTCGAATCTTCGAATGGATTCAGTTACGCACATTTGCGTTTTGGGATTTAGGGGTGTACTGACAACACAGTAACAATGTACATACGTCTAATATCGATCGTTTTGCGCGATGCAGTTCTTAAAATGACCGCTGTTAAACGTAGAGTGCGCTTCAAAACCAGTGGTTTTAGACGACATCGGTATTTCAGATCGTGTGACAAATAGTCCCGTAAGATGATTGGTTCACCCTATACATATATTGTCTGTGCTGCAACGTTGCACTTGGTGTACCTCGTATTCGAGGAGCGTGAAAAGACTCGATTTTTCAGCCGATATTTCAGTTGTGCTCCCTACCTTTTCTTGAAAAGATACATGCGCGTAGTTCTTTCTCATCCCTTTTCAAGTTGCATGTGTTGCGTCGTTTAGGAGTTTCAATGTCGATTTCTAGCTTGTGCCGATTCGCTCGTTATGTTCTTGACCATGGTCAAATTATAAATAAACATTTGTCGGCATTTAGTAGCAGAAGCAGCAGCAGCAGGCAACCCTTTGTATCTTCGGTGCCGTGCCATTAGCGACGTATATTTAAGCCGCTATACACGCCGTCGACGAAACAAAGCTCCGCAAATATCCCAGGGGGACAAAAGACTTACGTCAAAGAATAAAAAGGGTAAAAGGGTGAAAGAGCGAGAGTGGATGAAAGCGGTTGTCGGACGAACGAACGACACACGCTCGACGATGCGCGACTCGCTGTGGAACACCAACGGAGAAACCAACCCTTTTCTTGGCCTTGCACTTCAAACCTATCAAGGTCGCGCTTTTCAATCTTGCGTCGTTCCTGCGAATTTTCAACCACGACCAACCTAGTCGTTATCAATTTATCGCGTATGTACACTATCAATTAGCTGCGAGAGATAGAGTTTTCGTTTCCGGACAAATAGAGAAATCGTTGTTGTTTCGAACAAGCTTGAACGCGAATTTGCAGCGCAATCGCGACCGTTTGGGAAACCGCAACAATCTTTTTCCGTGGTCGTGCGTTCGCGTAAGATTAGAGCGCCGCTAATCATTAGAATGCTCGACGACCACCTACACATTTTCATTTTTCAAATGTTCTTCGGGGAATTTGGTTGATTCGCAATTTAAACGTCGGTTCTCAACA